ATAAGTAGATGAAATATATATTTATTTTATTTAGTTTAAGATTATTTTCGATCTTTAGTAGTTACGTAATTTTTCATTATTATATAATTATGAAAAATTATTTTCTCTACAAAATTTCTCTTCTCTTAAAAATGGAATTACATCGCTTCGGAGCAGAAAAATTTATATTACTAATTTATCATATTTTTAAACATATTCCATTCACACATATATAGTAGTGTGTTGTTATAATATTATAAAATATGAAAAATTTTCTCTTAACACTAAAAAACATGGTAATCGTGGGACAATATGGAAGAATTTTATGAGTTTCTCTGATTAATATTAACCACTATAAAAATATTAATATTTATTACAATAAGATGTAAAACATCTTCGATTAATTTTACTATGTACATATTATTATTTTTATTGTGATAAATATTAATCACAGAGAAACTCTTACAAAATTCTTCCAGTACCATATTGTCCCACAATTTTCAGGGTAAATTCTAAGAGAAAATTATCCCGTGTATATAATAATAATAGTATATTGTGTATCAAGTGCGGAAAGTTGACAATTGGTCACGAGTGCGGGAGATGGACGCACGAGCCAAAGGCGAGAGCAATGTATTGCCCACGACTTTAGCCGTGGGCAATGACTTTGAACGCGGCTCAGCCGTAGGCAATGGCTTTGAATGCGGCTTATTCACTCACCGCGTCGCCGCTAGATGGCGGCGTGGGAAATCGGCCGCTTTCCGCACAGGAAACACGCACACAAAGTGCCACTTTGCCTGCACGTGTAATACAAAAAAATATAATATATATATATATATATATATATATATATATAATGTACAAAAAAAACGAAAATAAAACAAAATAAAACCATGAAAGACCACTATACGAAAATACGATTAACAAAGAATACGCATTGTAACAATAACCCTTGGATGTCAATTCCTATTATTTCCAGCTTGCGAGCACATAGAGTGATTGCAAAATACAATCTCCCCTCTATCGCTAGCGCGTGCACAAGCAAGCGCACACACATTTACACTTTCTTTCTCTCCTAAACTCGAATTAACTTTGGCCACTGATCGTCCATGACGACCCGTCGCCCCCGAAAGGAACGAGACCCCCGACTTTGGTAACGAGCAAACGAGACGCTCGTCACGAACAATGACGCCCGGACACCTGAGAGCGTGCGTGCAGTATAAATAGCGTGTGTCCCGATAGTGCATCTTTCCTCCAGCCGTCGTCACGGATTAGGATAATGCTCGTTCTCTCGTCGACTCCGCGATGAGGGGAGCAGATTCGGCAGCGACACGCGGAAGAGCCGAAAAACACGGGGCTGGCGGCACCGCGAGGGTGAGTCATACTTCATCGCCCGACGTGGTCGGTGGGGTGGAAATACGGGCAACTGGAATATAGTCGGCCTATCAGTTCCCCCTTTCACTCCCCATGACTGGTCCTCCCTCCCTTTTTCTGTCTGCGGACGGTGGCTCCGAGCGATAGACACCCTCGCTTCCGTTTGCTCTTCTGGATTCTCTCTTTATTGTGCTATCTTTCTCCTTCTCTCTCTCTTTATCAATAATTGAAATTATATTTCAATCTCCGGGCAACCCCGTTGTTTCGGCACGCGCACAGGGAATGTATCGGTCTGTATGAAATGTATGAACTACTCGTGCCATGTTTGATGTCAACTTTCGGAAGTAAGTTGAATTTCGTCGACGCGACGCCGAGGTATAAACTTAGATTACGGTGCGAGGGAGGGCTTGAATGTAAATTTTATCAAGTGTATTTAGGGAAAAACTTTAGGATTCGTTTTTTCCCTTCCACAAAAGTCAAAAGGTATATATTTAAGGGGATGTTGCCGTAGTTCTTTTACCGACTTTAAGTTAGGTTAAATTCATTTTTTATCGAACATACAGATTGAAAAATCCTTCACAACAAAAGTATTATTTTTTCATGTCATCTCTATTGGAAGTGCCGTATTTTGTGCACAAATAAACTGCAGAACTGTTGTATTAAATAAGTATTGTTATGAGCTGATAAAAAACTGTATTTTTTTAATCTTTTATACGAAATTATAGCACTCCCCGTTCATTATTATTAGTACTTTAATTATGGAGAAGGATTTGTCAATCTATATAGCCAATAAAAAGAAAAGCCTTTGAACTCAAAGTCGGTAAAACAGTCATGGTCAGCATCACCTTAAATCACTCATTCTTGATAGTCATGTTTATTAAAGATATTTTTACTATTATTAATTGCGTCCCTACACGCAACTCTAATAAAAATTCAATTTAATAAATAATGACGTGCGTTGTGTATATTTTTCTCGTGATACACGCGGTTGATAAAAAAAACATTTGACGTAAAAATAAATGGACCTTCGAGAAAGGTAATTCATCGCACGCAAAGTTGAAATATATCGGATATTCTATTCCCGCGCTTTTTTTATGGCGAATACTCCACTAGTTTATCTATTTCGGTGTGTTTTCGATGCGAGTCACGGCGAGTCATCGCACACTTCCGGCCGATACGATCGTTCAAGGAAGATAGCAGGAAGTGGGATTCACAAGGTGAAAATCCACCTCGTCGAATATTCGCTCGAGTGACGTATACATATTTAATCGATGCGTTTTCGGTGTTTTTGACTAACAAATTTCGAGTCACTTTCCTCTCTCTCTCTCCTCCTCCTCATCGTCCTCCTCCTCCTTCGAGAAGACGCAGCTGGCGCTGAATCATCGTGGAACCCTCCGGCGTTGCCAGGGTTTCCAAAGTGGCTTCGAGTAACTTATCGCTGGCTCTTACCGAAGATATTCGACTAGAAATGCCGCGAGAAAGACGAAAAATTCGGATTTCGCGCGTGACTTCACGATATATAATCGCAATTCTTTTTTTTTCGCCCGAGTCAGCAATATTTGACGCCAAAACTTGACATAATTGCGTCATTATATCCCTTTTCGCGCCTTTTTTCAGAAAAAGTTTGAAGTTAGAAAACTGACCGCGAGACTTAAGAAAATTAAATATATAGTAACTTTTAGTACAAATTTAACAAATATTATATTATATATATTTAATTATTAATAAAAATACTATATATATTTAATAATTAAATACATTAAATATTATATATTTTCATTAAATTCTTTTAAATTCACATTTAAAAAGTATATAATAAATAAATAAATATATCTAATATTAATAATATATTAAATATAATTAATATTTATTCAATACAAATATAAACAAAATCAGTTAAAAAATTTAATATCAACTAATACCTTTATTCTCGTACCTTTATTCTTAAATCAAAGCTAATTGCACCTCTCGCGCCGGTTCGAGAGTTCAAGGACTAATAATTCGCGAACCGTGGATCAGTGACACCGCCTTAAATGACATGACTTCGATGACTACAGAGACTGATGATGGCATATTCAATATGTGACCCCGGCGGCGATCTCTCGTATAATTTTCAGACTTATCGTCGCGCGGCTCTTCGTGGCCCCGTTTAAATGTTTGCGCAAATGCGCACGCACGCATATGCAATTTTGCGACGAGCGAAGTGCAACTCCGCGCCCGACGGTTAGTAATTCAAGCGGCCACTTCGGAGGAACACAATGGTCGTAACAGTAGTAGATTCGCCCGTAATTTTACACTCGAGCCTATTTTCCCGCCGTCCTAGTTTAAGCCTGATTCACGCCGCGATCCCTGCTAACAGAGCGAAAACGTTCGTGGACGTAAAGCGCGAAGAAAAATAATTTCGCCAACAATAAGTCGAAATCGCAAATATAAATTTTCAGCTTCTTGATTTTGCTATTTTAGCAACAGGAACCTAGTTATTGTAATAAATACATATGCATATGAAATATTTATATATTGCACAATATTAGTACTATATTATAAATATATTATTATATTAATTATTATATAAATAAAATTATTATATAATATTATATAATAAATTGCGTCACTAAAAAATCATCGCGTGATGTGAGCTTTAACTCGCATCTTTCACGACGGGTGGTTGGGAAAAAAGAATGGCGGTGACATATAATCGAACACCCTAATGGTCAGCACTCCCCTTTAATTATATCTGACTTATATAGAAAATTCGAGACTCTGTCACACATGTCACGGCAATGGATCGAGATGACTCTGGCGATGACAGATTTCGAAAAAAAACTCCAGAAGGACATGAAAGTGTTTGAAATTGAGAGAGCTCATATAATTAAGAAGAACTCGCGAATTATCGATAATCGCCGATATAATCATCGCCAATAATTATGACGACCAGGGAAACGAGCAGTTGATAAGCCTCTCATTAATATTTATAGACGAAGATGCCAAGATATAATGATCGTAACTTTGCCGTGTAACTGTTATTAAAGGAATGCATTTCTTGAATAAAAAAAGTCTTTAAACTGGAATATGCAAATTTTTATTTCCTTGACCGAGCGAAGAAATGTCATGATACTAGATAGAGTGATCTTTAATCAAGTTCCAGATTGCGCAATTTTCTTGTAAACATTAATTTTATCTTCATTTTTGTTTTAGTTCAATTTTCTTGTAAAACACTAATTTTATCTTGATTTTTGTTTCAGCCATTTAATATATTTATATATAATAATATATATAGTATGTTACTTATATTAATTATATACCGTATTTTATAGCCATTTATCGAAAGATATATTTATATATATATAAAATATGTAATATATATATATATATTTTTATTGTATAAATTGTTTCAATAAAAATATTTATAAAATAACGATATGTAATTAATATACAATGTACTATCAGGTTTCTTGTTTACATCAATATAAATGATCCAGCAAATAGTCAACATCGATTGCATTGCAAATAAATTAATTGCGAATGTCATTTTATATAAATATCTTAAAAAAAAAAAAAAAAAAAATTATCTCAAAAATAAAAGCGCGATGTTTGCTGAATTAAATCGCGCCGAGAAAAAATCTCACGTGTGAGAAAAAAATCTCACGTACCATTCCCTCGTCTACCGTCTCATCCTCGAAGTAACACTCGTCGTCATCCTCCGGTGTCAAAACGTTAGGGATCTTCTGCGACTCTTCCTTGATGTCCTGCCTCCTTATCCAATCCATGACAGTACGATATCTCCGTTTCCTTTTTTCTCTCAGTCAATGTTTAATCTTCCGACAGCTTTTGATCGCTTCCTCGTAATCACGTGTCCCGAGTCATCGCCCTCACATATCTGTCATCACTCTCGATTGGGGAAGAAAGGAATCCAGTTTCCTTCCAGATTTTATCGCAGGCCACGCTCCAATTGCGCGGAAGTTACGGGAGCGCGTTTGACATTTGCGCAAAATGTCAGTTTCTCTTTTTTCTCTCTTTCTCTCTCTCTCCTTTTCCGAACCGGCTAACGGAGACACGCGCTTTTCGAGACAGCGGAGACGCGATCGATAGTTGCACCTCTCTGCTCGGGACTCGCACACGTGCACTCTCTTCGGGAGAAAAAAAATCACCCAAAACAGCGTCTTCCTCCTCTTCCTCGAAGCTGCTCCAACGCAATGTCAAGTGTCAATTCGAGAAACGACGAGACCGAGCTTCTCCCTCACTCCATCCGCGTGTCTACGTCACTTTTGAAAGCCCTGTCTATCGCGGACGAAGGGTTGCGGAAGCGAGCCGGAGGGTTGACGCATAAATATCGATCCGGACCCGAATTACGAATTCACGAAAACGTCGCCGATCTTAATTACGACACGTTCGAGTGGATCCCAGCTGCACCCGCGAATGATGACGATGATTTGGGAAGAATATTCGTCGTCCACGCGCGAGCAGAAACGGCGTCAAAATTGCTTGACAGCGATATTGTTGCGCGTCGCACAGTACAAATATGTTTTACACACATCTATGTACAAAACACACGCACACACACCTAGTAGTACACATATTCTTGCATGCGCGGAGAGCCACGCACTCTGCCGCACTGGTGCAGCTGCAACTCTGTGTGTGCAGGCTGGGAATGCTGGAGGTGGTATGGATGGAGGCGGCTCTCGGCCTGCCTGGTCCCTCTGTTCTCCATCCCCGTCTCTCTTTCTGGCTCTGTCTCTGTCCTTCCCCACGTTTCGTTCACCCTTCTCTTCGAATAGTCCGCTTTGCTCTCTATCCCACTACCTCGCTCTCTTTCCTTTCCTCTAACTAGTCGGTTTGTGCTCCCTGCCCTGCTGGGCTGCTCCGTCTCTCTCCTTTCTACTAACCTCACTCTGTCTTATTCGAAATTCCGTCTCTCTCGCCAAGGGGAGCCTGATGACTCTCTGTCCTCGTCGAGGTTTTTCATCCCGAGACGCCACGATTGTGTATTTTTAATTTTGGAAGATTAAGTTTCTCTTCCGCCTACTGGTATCTGATTAGCTTCTTCCTCTCTGGCCTCTGGTCCACCCTCGACGATCTTCCGGGCCTTCCTTTAAAAGTCATCTTCCTCCTCGTATCTGCTGTTTCGTCGCCTTTATCCAATTCGTTGCTAGAATTGTTAATTCCTCTTTCTTTATTCAGCCTTCTGACGACTTTCTCTTTCCTTCTCCACTCGCGTTATCTCCCTCCACTTAGTATTCCAACGTTCCTCCTTCTCCCGCTCATTTTCTTAGAGCTATACTCTCCTCTCGCTCTCTATGCGCCGTTATTTCTTCCTCTCCCCCTTTTGTCCGAAGCCGGTCAGAAAGCAAGACGATAGAGCCGACCGGAGAAGAGAAGAGAGCATTCCCCAACAAGGGGGTGATGGTCGAAGGTTCGCCGCGATTCTCCGTCTTCCTTCTCTCTCTAGCCACTTCTCCCTCTTTTGGTGTCTCATCCACCCCCACCATGACCTGGCCCTCCCCCTTTTCTGTGAGTTCCACGACTCCTTCCTTTCCGAGCGACGCTGCCGCGAGTTCAGGGACGATCTCCCTTCAGCGGAAACCCAGGCACTGTCCTAAGGGATTCCCCGAACGGTGATCTTTTTTTATTTTACATTTTCAACTAGACCCGAGGAGTTTGCTTCGATTCTTGATTTTTCGCGAATAGAAAATTTATTCTGACAGTAGTAATTTACGATAGGTTTTTAAACGATGGATTAGAAGATGGATGCGTTTCAAAGGGTTGACACCTCGCGATAGAAAAATTTGATTATTTGTGATTGAGGGATTTAAGAGGATGCCGGAGTAGTTTCATGTTATCGATCGAAAAGTTATTTTACATTTTCAACTAGACCCGAGTTTGCTTCGACTCTTGATTTTTCGCAAATAGAAAATTTATTCTGACAGTAGTAATTTACGATAGGTTTTTAAACGATGTTTAGAAGATGGATGCGTTTCAAAGGGTTGACACCTCGCGATAGAAAAATTTGATTATTTGTGATTGAAGGACTTAAGAGCATGCCGGAGTAGTTTCATGTTATCGATCGAGAAGTGAGGTTAGATTCGACTATAAATCTATTTCTTGGCTATACGGATCGTTTAATACCTGAAATTATAAGCTTACACGGTTTGTTAATATTAATACTTTAATTATGGAAAAGGATTTATCAGTCTGTATAGACAATCAAAATATAAATTTTAAAAAATGAAAATATTTTAATGAATAATCATTTTTTAATTGATAAAACAGAATTAATTCTCTTAATCATTATTTTTTGGCATCTTGACAATGTTGTCAAGGTAAATAATTGTAATTAATTTCTATCAAGGAAATATTATATATTTTGACATTTTGACGTATAATAAATGCCTAAGCCTGCGTAGTAATAAATTTTTTTTATTTAGAATTTTCATATAGATATCAGAGAATCCTTTCTCACGACTTAATTAATTTTGCTATGCACCGGTAACTATCGTCACGGAAGGCCGAGAAATTCGATCTCTCGCCACTAGACTATCGACTAGACGCACGTGCCGCGTATCGTAAAATCGATATTCGACACCTCGTAAGAAAACATTGCGTAAGCGTTTCGGTTACGCATCGTCGCGTCGAAATGAAATACGGTTCATCCCTGAATCGGAAGGGAAGAAGATCTGAACCTGTCGTTTTTAAGAAGCTCCTACATTAATAAAAATCGACAACAAGGATCCTTCCTTTTATTTTGCGCGACATGTAAATTTTGGAAAAAACTAGCAAACATTTTTTTCTTATACAAAATTATATTAACTTCTGATGGAGTTTCGAGTTCTCGTTTTACATAGATCCATCCCTGAAGAGAACCGCGTTTCAGTAGACGAGGACGCCAGATGCTAAACCTAGAGCACAAAACGTGTAGAAGAAAAAGATAGGCGGGAAGAAGAAGAGAGAACGAGCTGGGGTGTCCCTGAGAAGGATAAACGTGTCGCCTGCGAACGAAGAGAGACGGCCTGCAGTAACGTACCGAGTAATTTGTGGAATGCACTTTCAGGCACGCGATCGGATGCTTCATCAGCATCCATCAACCGTTATGTTTTTCCTCCACTTCTATTTCCTTCGAGAAGAAAACCAATATTTCCTTCGCTCCTCTCTGTTCAGGTAGACATGTAATTGTTGAAAAATTTTCACGAATACGTTTGATTGTTCAAGAATATAGTCGATTAAAAGAAAATAAATAAGACAAGCTCGTTAACAACTTAATAGAGGCGATCCCTTCATATAATCGCATAATCACGCGACGACGTAACCGCTTCGAAACCCAAAATTTCCTCCCCTTCGATCATCACTTCCCAAGTCTAATGCGCCGACTTCGTTACGTCACTGAATCCAAGACGAGCGGAGAATGAAGGGTAGAAAGGGACCGACTGAAGAGAAAAAAAGAAAATAAAAGAGAGAAAAAGGGGAAGAGAGGAGGTAAAATGAGAGATGAAAAGCGAGAGAGAGAGAAACGTGATGCTGGAACGTGTGTTAGTCACGGGTTGCCCATAGCAACCCACGCGGCTAATGCACGCATTATAGGCGCCTCGTGCAGACCACGATACACAGGGTGTCTCAAAAGTCACACCGATGTTAATGACATTTCGTAGACAATGATTAAAAAAAAAAAGGAATCGCACACTGAAACAAATTGATTAAATATTTATTTCAATACTCTGCCTAATCATTTATTTAAAACTAATAATATTTATTTGATGTGAAAACTATTCGCTTTATATAAATTATGTATTAGGCAGTATTAAAATAAATATTTATTAATTTAATAATTTTTTCAGTGCATATGTTATAAAAAATTGTAAAACATTGAAAGAACAAATTTTTGACAGTATGCAATAAAGTCATATTTTAATAGATTCTTGCTATCACGCGATTTGCGGTTTAGTGTCATTTTTTTTTTTTTCACAGCAAAAGAAGACTTCGAGAAATGTCAAATCCTTCTCGCCGAAAGAAGAGCTCGCTTCGAGTTCGCTGTTATTTCTGTCCCACTCGGTATACACGAGTATCGCACGTATGTACACCACGTACGCACCTATTGCGCGTGCGCACGCGCGTGCTACGCACACACGTGTCGCCGAAGTTAATTGATTTTGCCTCCGTCGACCAGCACACGCTGTTACCATTCGATACGCAACCGCGTTATCGGCTACTAAACGCGGATGCCCGCGAAAACATGGACGCTAAGGAACTATCTGAGGTTGCAAGGAGGAAAGAAGGTCTGGACGATCTTGTTTTTCAGAGATCTAAGAAGGCAAGCGTCTTTCAGACGTAATAAATATTCTACATATTAATTGATTCTTCTTTGATTGTTCTTTAAAAAAATATAAGTAGCATTGTTTTTAATTGATTAATTAAAAAAATGCTGACCATATCTGTTTTACCGACTTTGAATTCAAGGGCTTTTCTTTGTATTAGCTATACAAATTGAAAAATCCTTCTCCACAATTAAAGTACTGTTAATAATGAATTGGGTGCGCTGTAATTTCGTATAAAAAACCAATAAAAGTTAAAAAATTACAGTTTTTCACCAGCCTCTTGCACCAGCTCATAACAATACTTATTTAATACTAAAGTTCTGCAGTTTATTTATGCACAAAATATGGCGCTTCCAATAGAGATGACATGAAAGAATAGTACAGAAGAATAATACTTTCATTGTGGAGGATTTTTCAATCTGTATATTCAATAAAAAGTAAACCTAACCTAACTTACAATCGGTAAACTATAACAACGGCAGCATCTCCTTAATTAATCGAATATTTAATTTTAAAAAATTTAAAGAATTTTAATAATTATTTTTTAAATATTTTATATCTTTCTTATATAAATATATCTCTAAATATTTTGTATTTCTTCAATTTTAACTTTCTTACATAAAACAATTCTAGGATAACGTGCGAATATTTCACACGGAATTCTAGTATAATACACGTAAACACTGAAATGTAGTACGATTGCAATCTCATTCAATATTAATATGTAAGAGAGTCTTATCATGTAGTTTATCATTTTTATATTCTATACAAGCAGTAAGTACATGATAATAATTGACGTTAGATAAGAGATAAATGATACGCGAAATACTTTCATCAGATATCTCATGTAAAAAACGACTGACTTTCAGCTAATTTTTCTCTTCGAGGGACTGACTGACATTATATGCACAAACAAATATAGCACGATGTCAAGGGTCACATCAGCGTATTAATGCATGCATTGCGTTCAAGCTGGACTCCAATAACGCTTTAAAATATTTTTTATTCTCTTGCAAGCGAATTATAATCTGTTGCATAATATAATCGCAAGGATCCATAAAATGACGTGCGCTAAATTTTCACGAGCTGCATCTGGATTTTCCGTGCGTATGATTACGAGATGATTGCGGAGAGATATATCTTCATTTATTCGAGAAAAGAGAAGAGAGAGAAAGAGAGATGTTATTGCTTTCGTCCAATCGATCGTATTTCATATCGCCGATAAAAACGCATCGCGCGACAGTTTACGCGCAATATAAAAGTGTGTATATGCCCCGAAAAAATTGAAACGACAAAATTTCGTTGGAAAAAAAAACTCCACTTCAATCGAGCAAAGATTAAGCA